GTCTTAATTTCCCATTTTCTACATTTTGGACAAAACAGAATTCATTATTCCTGAACTTTTAATATTAATCAAAGAGGGGACCTCTACTCCATTAGGTACATGTACATGCTGTTCTAGGCATATATTCCAGTCTGGCCATTTCTCTAGTCTTAAGCTGCTGATGTTAGTGTGACCTACCATATTAAAATCAGTATTATACCCTTGGACTCACATGGCCTTGTGTTTAATGTTTAAATCCTTCTGAGACAACATTTATATTGAGGAAATTTTTTTTTTGGTCTCATGCAGATCAGTTTGTATCTGAATGAGCATAAATACCTGAGGATCAAATAAATTCATGAAAATGCAGTATTATATATTATAAGCTGGCATATATTATTCTAAAAACAAGGAAGATTAAAAAAAAATTGAAATTCTCGGTGTTCATGAAGTTTTAAGTGGTCTGTGCACAGATATCAATTTTATAAAACTGAAGGATGTTTTTATTAATGTATCTTGAAATTCTATTGGACTGTCTCAGTGTCACACATTTTATCAATGCACAGAGTTTTTATTGTTTGTTTTGGGTGAAAGCAGGAAGTTGGCTCAATAGATACATCTTATAAGTATATATGTACTATTTATATCATTTAAATAAGAAAACAGATTATCGATGTCTGAAATTAGAAGTCCATCAGATATGCATTTACATGTATTTGTTTTCATCTTTTAGACACTGTGTTTAAGATTTATATTCTTTAAGTGACAAATGGAGTTCTCATATGATCAGCTGAGATATACATGGTAGGTAATTGAATGCATACTTGTCTTAAATTTGCTTGTGTTTGAAAAATTTAGCAGTACATGTATTGAACAATTTGACTTTGAGGTCTGGAAACAGACTTAGAATTAATGAAAGACTAAGATTTTAGTAAAGGTGATTAAAATTCAAAACGGGCATACTCAGGGACATGTGCTGCACATTCTAGGTTAGGCCAAACAAAAAAATATGTATGTTTACTGTTACATGCTGAAATAAAATAGGGTCGGTAGGTAGGATTTTTTTTATTTTATTGAATTTTTTTTATACCCAAATTCACATGAATTGGTTGAAATACAAAACAGTTTTACTATTGTGTGGTGCTTTACTTTTGTTTGGGCTTGCCATATGGACGATAGATAATAACTTTCTTGCCAACTGCCTTACACCTACCACACAATGAAAAAACTTGTCTTGTATATCTTCTTTAATTCCATGTTGCACTAACTATTTCTAGTACTTTTGATTTCAAACGCTTGACTAATTAAGATGCATATAAAAGTTAAACCGATGAATGAGTGACTTCTGGATTTTTACAATGAAAAAAAATTTGGGTCGGCTCTTGGATATAGGGTTGGTCGGGTAACTGTAAACAAACATATTTTTTTATACACTCAGTCTGGCTATAAATTAAGGTAGCCAAAAAGTTGTAGTATCACCATACTATAAATATAAGGTATGGTGTAACCATTGATAACTAATACTTGCCTTCTGTGAATTAGTATTTATGCTAGCATTTCCTATGTGTGGACTACCAGTGGGTTAGGATATTGTTTAAGATCCTGATACAAGCATGGAATGGGTGGATACATTAAATGATTAAGCTGCTAATGATTTCAAACAAGCAGATGAACTCTTTATATTAAGTTTATGTTCAATATGTATACAAATTAATTTACATACATCTACCATATATGCCATAATCTGATTAAAAATGACTCATTGAGGGGTAAATGTGTGAAATTTTAATGTGCTTCATGGAGCATCTTCGGAAACCCACAATCAGTCTCGCTTCTCTTCTCGTAAGAGAAGCGAGACTGATCGTGGGTTTCCAATGATGTTCATGGAGTGACCATAGGGCAAAGGCATACACTGTGAGGAAAATTCTGTCACATGTCTTATTTGTTGTTGTTTGATAGAAAAAATTGAAACCTATTTATAAAATAGTGACAACTATATACAGTAATGTGCTGAGTGTGTTTATATTCATCTGAGGTGTTTGTTGTTGATAAAGATTAGTCATAGTTAATCATCTCAAAGGGTCAAAATACAAACAAAACCTGTGAAAATGTGTCACTGGTCATGTTTTAGGTTTACTTGCATATAGCTGGAGTTATTCCCCTTTACACATTGTGTATTGAGAGGTCTACCTGTTCAGTGTTATATATGTAGAGTTGGTCATAAGACATGTTCTAAGCTGTGATGTGTCACCTCTCTGTTGTTGTTAAGTGTCTCATTCACAAAACTATCACCCCTACTGTCTGACCACAACTGATTACAATCCAGTTAGACAGTACAGTGTACAAGGAGTGAAGATCACTCAAACGAAAACTTCTATTAAAATGTTGGAATCATTGTATATCCATAAAAATGTAGAAGATATTGTCTTTTAATTAATTACCACATTCAAAATTTATTGTTTACAATGTGATGACATGGAAAAGTCTAAATTTTGGTTTTGTCAGCACAAGTATTTTTTCTTGCTTTTTACTCGGTTTAGGTTGTGAAGAAACTGTGTAAATATATCATTATATAAATATATATCGTAATATAGGGTTATTGAACTTATATTGGTGAATATTGGCACGAGTTGGCTGTGCAAATGCACAGGTTTGCTAGTGTGGTATGTGATCTGGAAAGTGGGATCGTGTGATTATGTGAAATCAACAGTAAATTAGACTGAGTGTTGCACAGTATCAGATATTGTCATTTTCTGAGAAAAATTTCTTTCTGTATTGAGTCAAGGAATTCACAGAAATATTTTTAATAAGTTCCTTATCACGGTGAACAGCTTAAAAATAAGATACAACTAATATGTTTCAATTCAAAAAGTAGTTCTTTATGTCCAAAAATTGAGGTAATTGTGGATAGTAGCCTAGTGGAAGGGCATTCACTTCATGATCAGATGACCAGGGTTCTATTCTCCATGCCATGTCAAACCAGTAAGACGTAAACATAGGTAGTGACTGTTCCTTTGCCAAGAACCCAGCACTAGAAGTGAAAGTCACGGGTGTTTCGGATGAGACCTTAAAATCAGAGGTCCCATATGACCACAGTAAGCGTTAGCCTACCCTCACTACTCACTTGCCCTGAGTGATGAGTAAAGGTCTAAATTTGAAGCCCTTCACCAGTATATGGTGACTCGAATGGAACGTCAAACAACAATTGATCAATCAATCTGATCATATATATGCTATCCTAACTTTTTCATTTTGAATTCTTTTCCTTCTTAACTATATAAATGTAAAAAAAATCTCTGTGAATGATACTTTTGTGTCATTTATGGTCCGTACTTCTATCACCCACCCACTAACTTTACTTCTAGCTATTGGAGGTAAATAAAGTTTGGGGATCTAGCTGAAAACATGTAGCTAGGATATACTATAGTATACCCTCTTAAAACTCATGATTTGGGATTTTGGTTGAATAAATAATGATAAAAGATGATGAAATTGATACTAATATTTCTTAAATTTGTTGGAAACATATTTTGTGTGAATGTTTATGAGTATGGGGGAGGGGGTGGGACTGCTAACAAACTGCACCTATTTAAGCCTTGTCCATGCATTCTTTTTTTCAATACTGACCAGAAATTTATAAACATGCATGTACATTTATAAAACTTCTTGCATCACATGACTTGAGATTGTATGTAATACTGACAATTTTGTCAGTATTACATGCACATACCTAAAATGTGCATGATGTAGGAAATGTTAAAAGGATGTGAACAATATCACTTATTTAGAAAAGAAACTGTAATTAGTACAATTTTATTGATAGCTTGGACTTTTGTTAAGAGGTGAAATGTTTATAAACTCTACTATGTCATATTAAGCTGTCAAACAATGATTTATACTATTCATTTCATTCATATAGAATGTTTTAACATCGAAAAAAAATCAGGTTAATTCCATCAGTTTAATTTGTTCATAGAGCATCTTAGATCTGGTGATGCTTACATGTATGTCATAATGTTTGAAAAAACCAAAGAGAAATCCCAAATATTGACATACATGTAATTATCCTATAAATTAAATTTCATAGAGCTAAGAATTAAATTGGAACCGTCCATTTTGAAACTGATGATATGAAAAAAAGTATAGTGAAGTACGTGTAAATGCATTTGATTGACTTAAAAATGCTGTCAAACATATAATACTAAACTCTATGCATTTTCTGTTAAAAATCTATATTTGAACACAAACCCATTTATTCAAAATTAAAGCCTTTACACTGTAATATTCAAGTGAGATGCTATGTAAAGATTTTGTGAATGGAAATGACATGACAAGTACACTCTGTAGCATGTAATCCAATGAATAATTGAGAACAAATAGAAAAAAAAGTTTGTAATGCGTATCCATTGTCAGTTACACACATAAAGGAAAAAAAATGAAATCAATACAGAAGACTGAGTCTCCCTGAGTCGGTTAATGAGCTACAGAGTGAAATTCCTAGCCGTAAAATCAATACTAAAGTGTCACCATCAGGTTACTGTGTGTGGGAATGTAATTTGTCCCTGTGTGTATATCCGTTAGGGGGCACCTGTTTGTAGACTAGGGAGGGTCAGCAGGTACCCCCATAAGTTGACAGTCAGAATGTGTATGTGGGGTAAGTCATAATGTATTATTTGTGGTGTCTTTGTGTGTGTGTTATTTTAAGGCATGAAGGAATTACTCACTGGAAACTTGACTCATCGTTTGGTGAATTAATTCTTGCCTTGATTTAATGGGCATGAGAGTAATGAATACATGCACTGATTATTGTAAAAAAAAAAAATAGTTCCGTAATCATGAAATGTTGTGATTCTAGACATTGTGTGCTGTCATCTCATTAATATATTTATTTTCGGCATGTAAAATTTAAGAAACCAATAAAATTAATTCATAATTATATTATTTTGAATAACATGAACCCAAGTTCCTTAGGAGAATTATAACTTTAATCATTAATTTTTTTTTCAATTTTCTCTTTTTAGCACCCTCAAAACCTAAATTTCTGGACAAACTTTTCACCAATGTTGGATTAAGTAAGAAACTACAAGGCCGAACAAGAAATGGTCTAGTGATTCAGACAATTACAACAGGAACAGGGGACTCAGAAAACGTAGAGGAGGATCTAAGCATTCCACTGGAGAGGGATTTACCGGGATCAGTGAGTGAACCACAGACAGAAGTTAGCTCCCCTTGTGAAGAATTTCAAGAAAAAACCACGCAGTCCACACCAAATTCTCCAAAATTATCGGGCATTGTGAAAAGGAGACTTTTAGAATATCAGCAGATTGGTGCAGGGAATAAGGGACCAAGATTACGATCCTTATCTACGCCTTCTTCACCGTCATTCAAAAAACGAGGATTTGTTCACCCGAGTCCTCAGACATCTTGTAATTCAAAAGGGGATCCCTCTCTTTCTGTGTTTTGTTCAGGATTGTCAAGAAATGAACAATTTCGGAAGACCGCCATGTCTAAAGGATTTGTGAAAGCTCTTGTTGACCAAATAGATGGTAACTCTCCAAGTCCAGGTAAAGAGGAAAAACCAATTGATAAAGCAAAACCAGCCAACTCAGAATGTGAAAAAGAAGAAAAAGAAAAGAATATTTTAGAAATTCCAAATGTGAAGCCCTCAGATGTTGTGAAGAGTCAGAATTCGCCCAAAGTTTCTAAAAAGGATGTTGCAAAATTTGTGAAAACACCACCCTCTGTTCATAAGAAACCTTCTACGAGACATGGTTACTCAGACCATTCAAACTGTTCCTCGGGGACAACCAGTCCTGTGCTTTCCCCAACCACCAAAAAACATGTGTTCAACAGTCATCGGTGTTCTAACTCTTCACAGAAAAGTAGCTCCTCAGACAATGAAGTTGTGACATCTTCTCCTAGATCTTCCCGCAAAAACAAAGAAATTGTACCCGAGGAGACAGGGGATACTTACGAAAATGTTGAAGTGGCAGAGAGTGGAAGTAAAAGTGACATAAGCAGTAGTGGCAAATCTCTTAGTTCTGGTTGTTATAGCAACGGAGTGTCATCAGTTGGACAGGAAACTGGTGGGGAGGAGGAAACAGGTGGGGAGGAGGAAACTGTTCTGGAGGAGACCAAGCTAAGCCTTGACCCGGCAAAATTGTTTGACTCCAGTTGGTCTGATTCAGATGTTGGCAGCTTCAGTGAGTTTGACAGTGACCTTGAAGAAGAACATCCGGTTGAGGTCAAAGAGGTCATTATCATTTTATCATTTTGTCTTTTTTTGATCTAGTTAAAATATATAGAGGATATTCAATGTTTTGTAGATGAATATGGAATTTATTTCACGAGTGGGACAGGATTTTTTGATATTTTCACGAGTGAGAAGCACGAGTGAAAATATCCAAAAATCCTGTCTCACAAGTGAAATAAATTCCATATTCATCTACAAAACATTGAATTTTCTGTTTATTACATTTTCTTAGATTTTCCCTTTGCCTCTGTCTTTTTGTAACACAGTGTCATATGCTGTGATGTTATAGTTGAGCGGTTGAGACGTCATAGCTAAGCGATTGCGAGATTGAAAAATGTTGGTAAACATGGATTTTTAACGACATATTTGGAAAAACTTTGGCAGTATAAGTATGGAAGTGTTTTGCCGCACTACTGATATTCTCACACTGTGAGAATACCATTTTAATATCCTTTCACACTGTGTCAGAATATCACTTATTCAGGAAATAAATTAAAGTTGTATTTCACTGTTGAAAATGTAATAATCATTTAGTATTGCTATGACTTCATGCAGAAACATTCACATGTATCTATTTAAGAGGTACTTGTAATTGGAGGAAAGTTCAAACATTCTTTTCTACAAGTCTCAAAAGATTGAATTAGAATTTTCAAATTTGTTTTCAATATGCTGTTTAGAAACAAATTGAGGCAAGTTACTTGTTGCAGTAATATGGAACAAGGTTTTCGTGTCAATGAAGCTTTTTCTTCCTGATCTGACATGTCATTTACAGAATCACTGTCAAATGAATGTTTGATTTTCAAATCAATTTTATGATTCAGCCTCTTATCAAAATATTGATGTGAGCAGTTGCTGCATTTTATTTGCTCCTTGTGCAAATATCAAGTGAAGCAATATGAGAAATTCCCAGTATTAGATAAATAAGGCTGAGAGCAGCACAATATGTGCATCTTTAGTGCATTTGCTGGAGACTTGAACATGTAGACAAGCGTATATTGATAATCAATGAAGTCCACTTTTTACAGACTACAGTCCTGTTCTGTTTAAAACCAAAGCAAATATGGAGAATCTGTATAAAATCTCTCTGTACTTTGATCTCTTTTTGACCTGTATCATGTTAACAATGAATTATCTCCCCTTTCAAAGGTTTGAAGTTACAAACTTTGGATGTAAATTTTGAAATTTCTCTATGGGAGATTAGATATAATTGATAATACACATATAATCAAAAGACAATTGATAGTTTAATTCTGTAACATGCTCCAAAGCATGAAAGTTCAGTTTCAAAATTCGTAGTTTTATAACACAGAATATCTTTGTGAAATTTTGTTTGAATACATTCATAACTCCAGTCTTGCTTTTTCATGTCAGTTTGGTATTTATCTTAAAACAATGCTAGAGGCTAAAGTTGTTATGTTAATCTCACTTTTTCTTGATAGTTTTTATGTAAAATTTACTTGATTTATTGCAGGATCCAAATTGTGTTGGGGAGTGTAAAATAAAGAAGATTGCTTCAGAGTTGTTGCAAACTGAGGCAGCATATACTAAAAGGCTTCAATTACTGGATGAAGTGAGTTTTAGATTAACTTTTATTGTCAATTAATGAATTCTAGGCAAGGTATTTTAACAGTTAAGAAAGTGAAATCTATAGACATAGACTTGATGAGTGGTAGAAAGCTGTCTATCTCTCCTTGAGAATATGTAGCATAAACCATCCCTGAGTCATCACTGACTTAAAGTTGTCATCCAGAAATCATATTATTCTTACTTTTTTCAAATAAAAAAAGACTTCAGGACAGGTAAATTTGAGAGATTGATTTGCTACATCAAGTTAAAATACTAATGATTGTCTTTCTGAAAGTAGCAGAGTAGAAAAAAAGTGTTTAAATGTTTCCTTGATATTTCACCAAACATTCCAGAAAATTTTGTTTTTTAAATGTTTCACCTATGATTTTTCACCAGACGTTCCAGAAAAAAGTCCGAGAGGAGAATGAGAGCCAGAAATTCCTTCCTTCAGATGTCATTCCTCAAATCTTCTCCAATATCACTAGTATCCACCATTTCCACAAAGACTTTCTGCTTCCTCAGCTACAGAAACGCATGGAAGACTGGTAGGTCAAGAGGTTGTATAGAACATGAAAGAAGGGTCACAAAGTACATCTTGTACAGGGAGGGGTTCATATAGAGCAGTCAGTATAGGGGAGGGAGTCAAATAAGAACAGCACAAGGAATGGGATTCACATACAATACTGTATGTGGATATTTTTACAGGGTAAATTTGGGATTTCTATGTAAGAAAGTGTTTACAAGGGGATTAGTTTTGCTGATCTTAAGGAATTTACAAAATGTATTGGTTTGTTGTTTGATGTGGTACTTCTGTTTGAAATCGTGCACATGGTGATAAATTTTGGGGAAAATTTAGTTATTGCAAAATTTGCAAAATCTTCCACCATGCAAACATTTCCACGATTACACTAGCTGCTAACACAATGAAGAGGTTTCACATAGAACAACAAGTGCAAGGGAGAGAGTTGCATAGAACAGTTCCTACAGGGGAAAGGGTGGGCCTAGGGGGTTTCAACACAAAACAGCCAGTATATAATGTACAGAGGATGGGTATCACACAGAGAAGTAGAAAGAAAAACTAGCTCATAGGAGGATCTCACATAGATCAAATAGCTCATAGGAGGATCTCACATAGATCAAATAGCTCATAGGAGGAGCTCACATAGATAAGATACTTAAAGGAGGAGCTCACATAGATCAGATAGCACATAGGAGGAGCTCACATAGATCAAATAGCTCATAGGAGGATCTCACATAGATCAAATAGCTCATAGGAGGAGCTCACATAGATAAGATACTTAAAGGAGGAGCTCACATAGATCAGATAGCACATAAGAGGAGCTCACATAGATCAGATAGCACAAGGGAGGAAAAGAAAAATGTAATTTACTCGTGTGAATTAAAATATATATGTTGAACTTTCTCATATATTCATCAATATAAACTAGGGATGTCAAATCGGTCAATTTTTGATAATCGGTTACTTGGACGTTTTTCCGATCGAGTAACCGGGTACTCGGTAAAAAATGTAAATACAAGTGTGTTAATTTTGTTTGAGCCCAGTTAAGCTCTGTTAAACCCCAAAGCTGTTTTTATCACGTTTATAAATGTATATACACATCGATTCCAACGGAAATGATCTTTTGGTACTAAATTTATTTATCAAACACAAAAAACACAATTAATACATCAAAAATATTACAAATAGTTTACACTTCTTGTTTAGGATCTATTTCATCAAAAGGAGGACAATCTGTTACGCATGTTTATGATGATTAGACTAGCGAAAGAGAAGGAATGGCCGTTGTTGGGATCGCTAGTCTAATATTATTTCATATGTTGATTGTTTCCCCTGTATACACTAAACTTACTACGCAAATTGACTTTCAACATTTTTTTTCAATCTTAAGTTAGTTCTAAACATTTCTTCACTTTTGAAGTGGGTAGCGGCATTTCTATGCATGTCCGATTTCACTGCCGTAAATAATTTTAAAATGATTTGAAGATAATAGACCATTGACGTTTACTGACAAACAATCATTGAAGCCATCCAAATATTAGGGACCACAATAGGTGAGAACAGCGGGGTGATTGGTTACTAATTACTGTATATACACAGCCACAGATGATAAAACAGGTGTTTTACAGGTGTAGATGATGACACGCAAATTATCGTATGCATAATTATGTTATTTTTTGATAAGTTTTTTATAAAAATATGTACTTTGAAATAAGAAAAAATACACATCCGAGTAAATGAGTACCATTTTTAGTATTCGATACTCGGACATTCGATCGAGTACCCGGTTAACCGGGTACTCGTTGACATCCCTAATATAAACTCTTGTATAATTTGAATAATTCATATTTATAATTTAATCTTCAAGACAGTAACTGCTATTTGTTTAGGGAAGCACAACCAAGGATAGGAGACTTAATGAAGACCAATGCCCCCTTCCTGAAACTATACACAGAGTATGTCCGTAACTTTGACCATGCCATGAACCTCATCAACACCTGGGTGGAAAAGTCACCCAAGTTCTCATGTCTCCTCAAAGAAATCCAGGTATGTCTGACTCATTTCATTGTAGAGGAATGTTTATAGGCAGCTTAAATACGAATAAGGAAAAACAAGCTGTAATATATATTTTAGTACTGTACCTATAATGCTTTTAGTGTAAATTTCAGTTTAGTTTGAAAATACTTTAATAGTGAAAAGGAATATTTATCTACCCTAAATCTTTTTTTATTCTTTCAAATAAAAAGATATGTTCTATATCTTGTTTATGGATATCCTGATGTCTGATGTCTTTTATTGAATAAGAGTTAATTGAAGATAAAGAAAAGGAAATAAGCAGAAAATTTCTGCCATATTTAGTTATTATCTCCCTTTTAAATTTTTTGTTCCTATAGAGCTATCCAGAATGTGGGAAGCTGACCTTACAACATCACATGTTAGAACCCATACAGAGAATTCCTAGATATCAGCTACTGCTTAAGGGTAAGAAATCACATGTTAGAACCCATACAGAGAATTCCTAGATATCAGCTACTGCTTAAGGGTAAGATATCACATGTTAGAACCCATACAGAGAATTCCTAGATATCAGCTACTGCTAAAGGGTAAGAAATCACATGTTAGAACCCATACAGAGGATTCCTAGATATCAGCTACTGCTTAAGGGTAAGAAATCACATGTTAGAACCCATACAGAGAATTCCTAGATATCAGCTACTGCTTAAGGGTAAGATATCACATGTTAGAACCCATACAGAGGATTCTTAGATATCAGCTACTGCTTAAGGGTAAGATATCACATGTTAGAACCCATACAGAGAATTCCTAGATATCAGCTACTGCTTAAGGGTAAGATATCACATGTTAGAAGCCATACAGAGAATTCCTAGATGTCAGCTATGGCTTAAGGGTAAGATATCACATGTTAGAACCCATACAGAGAATTCCTAGATATCAGCTACTGCTTAAGGGTAAGACATTACATGTTAGAGGCCATACAGAGAATTCCTAGATATCAGCTACTGCTTATATAAGGGTAAGACATCACATGTTAGAAGCCATACAGAGAATTCCTAGATATCAGCTACTGCTTAAGGGTAAGATATCACATGTTAGAACCCATACAGAGAATTCCTAGATATCAGCTATGGCTTAAGGGTAAGATATCACATGTTAGAACCCATACAGAGAATTCCTAGATATCAGCTACTGCTTAAGGGTAAGACATTACATGTTAGAGGCCATACAGAGAATTCCTAGATATCAGCTACTGCTTATATAAGGGTAAGACATCACATGTTAGAAGCCATACAGAGAATTCCTAGATATCAGCTACTGCTTAAGGGTAAGATATCACATGTTAGAACCCATACAGAGGATTCCTAGATATCAATTACTGCTTACAGATAAGATAATTGTATATCAAAATTCATACTGAGAGTTCTTAGATATCACATGCCAGAACCCATACAGGGAATTCCTAGATATGTATTTCAGCTACAGTGTATTAATAAAAGGAAAAAAAATACTTGTTTAAATCCCTAGGAATCAGCTTCTACTGAAAGGTAGATATCTCATATTATACCAACACTGAGAATTCCTAGATATTAGCTGCTATGGAAAAATAATTAAGATACAAGTTGAAATCTCATCCAGAAAATTCCTAAATATCACTACTATGGTAAGATAAACATCACTTGTTAGAGGCTATACAAAGATTCCCCAGATATTAGGTCATTATCAAAGGCATAATATGATATGCTAAACGAGATGTAAGGTAGCAGATTTTAGAACAGAATCCATAGATTTACTAGATATAGGTAAGATGTCACATGTTAAAATTTATTCTATATATAAATTGCAATAGAAAAGTAACATACATGTGAAACATGTTAGAATCCATCCCAGCTAGGAATCAGCTAATGCTGAACAGTCTAACACTCACAGAAATAAATGGACAACATACTGAATACTTTTTAGAAATATATCCTGTATTGCAAATTTGTTTTGATATTTTTAATTCTGGTTTCAGGCATGTCATATGTAGAAAATTTGTGTACATTTACACTTTTAGCAGCATATTGTCTTAGTACTGTATAGTATAGCTTTGTTTTTTCAGATTACATCAAACATCTACCAGAAGACTCGCCAGATTCTCAGGACGCTAAATGTGAGTCTCGCATAAATAACCAGTATGCTGTAAAAAAAAAAAAAAAAATTATTTATCTGCAAGATAATTGAGCAATTCCAGCTCTCAGATATTTATGGTGGAAAAATAGTTAAAAATCTTATGAAAGAAGAAACTTTGACTTTGAATATATTGATTTTTTTTTTTTGGTGGACAGGTTTTTCAATTTGTGAAATAAAAATGTTGCATATATTTTTGGTTTACAGTTCTGCATAATGGGTCACATATGTTCATGTACAATTTCCTTCCTCCAATAAGTACGGAAAATGTCACAAAATAACAAAACATTCATATTTTTTATAGTAATTTAAAGAACTGAGTGAAATTATTATTTTTGTTGTTGTATATAGATACAAATATATGGATGCTATTTCATTTCAAAGACAAATTTCAAACCTCAGATATTTCCTGTTATAGAATGTATTAAGGAGACTGATATTTGCACTTAGATAAAGGGATTCTAATAAGTAAGATTTATTCATTCAATGTATACATTATGCAGATTTGATACTTTTTATTTGAATTTTCACAGCTGCTCTAGAGAAAGTAGAGATTGCAGCAAAACACTCAGAAGAAGCCATGAAAAAAATCGTAAGTTTGAGTCTCATCTCAGTTAAAGCATACCAGTAAATTGTAGATCAAATATGTTTTGAATGAGACATTCAGTCACATTGGTAATTTTCCTAATAGCTTAAGTCAAAGATAATGAAAATCAATGTTTTCTATGAATCACCTTTATGTAAATTCATGTCATCAAATGTGCAAACAAATTACAAAATCATAAACTCTCTTTTCAATAGATTTTTATTTAAGAGAAATTGTAAGAAATAGACAATTGAATTAAAAAGATGATTATCTTTACAGGAGAAATTCCACAAGTTGTTAGAAATCAAAGAAAAAGTGACCACCACCATAGATCTAATAAGCCCCACCCGCGAGTTAATACGGGAGGGGAAAATTAAGAAGATCTCGGCTCGGGGGGGAGAGAGATTGGATCGGTATCTGTTTCTGGTGAGTAGGGTGCCCTGACACCTAATTTTTTCAGTAGGATTTTATGGTTTGATATGTGTACAGTATGGTAATAAGTTGACTGAATGGTTCTAGGATTAAAATACGACAATTTGCAATGTACATTTCCACAAAATGAAGAGTTCAATTTACATGATTGTTCAAAAAAATATTTAAATGAGTTGTACTTTATCCATAAACTCATGTAAATCAAAATCTGTTAAAATTTTTATTGATAATTTTTTTATGCTTTCATCATTTTAAAATTCAAGTCAAGAGTAATTGATTTTTTAAATTAAATTAAGTAACATAAATGTAATGAGTTCCTTATTGGAAGAGATAAACTGGAAGGAAATAGTCCAGATTTATGTTTAATTAACAAGCACTCAAGGATTACAAGGAAATTACTCTAAAGTCACAATTTTCGGAAATGTTTTCCAAGGCACAAAGTACAGATTAAGAATTTGTAAAGAACACCAAGGATTTTTTAATAGATCATTAAAAATATCAATCCGATCATCAATAAAGTGCAAAATGTCAAATTTTCATCAGCTTGAATACTATACTTGAAAGTTAAACTAAGAATGAATCAGAAAGTAAACTTTTGAGTTCAAAATGTCAATTCTATTTTTTTTTTTAATTTACTAATTTAAGCACAAATGAATTTTGTTTTACTTTTACTTTCAGTTTAATGACCTACTTTTGATTTGTGGGGAGTTGTTGCTGGGGAGTTACAAGTTGAAGGCAGAGTTAACAATTGATGGACTAGAGGTGGGTGTGGCCTATTTAAGAAAAATTTAGCTCTTTAAAAGAAAATTGCTTACATGTGTAATAAATGTGTCTTGTATGTACATGTACATATCACTATTTAAACAATATAGGCCTATAAGTATATTTATGATATATATACTACAAGAAAATATTTTAAAATAACACTATAAATTGTAGCATTTAGGATACTATTGTGCTGTATATTGTAACTTACAAAGAGCTAGCCCTCAGTGGGTGTATTATTACTTATACTAGAAGCTGTATAACAATGATTTGCATAGTAATTAACAAAAACATATCAGGATATCTAATTTTTTTTTGTCAATGATGACATTAAATGTGATCTACATGTATAAATATTGTTTTATGCAATATTTATTTGTCACATTATCATTTTTCTTAATAAGTTATTAACTATTATTTTTAAAATTAATCTAAAGGAAACTTTCCAACATATACTTTATTGTATAATATTGAAACAGAATTTTTTCTTCAGCATTAACCCCTCAAGAAAATCTTAGTTTATTGACTGAACATTTTTTTTTTTATAAATAATAATAATTTGCAGCACCAGCACATAATAATGTATGGTAGATTCCTTATTTTACGCAAGTACTTAATTTCATGAAATGACTTTTAGGAGTCAAATCGTGAGAACAATAGTTCGCAACTGGATGGTTGATCAAGAGATGTTACATAGATTTCAACACATGAAAATAAAAACGAGTAATTTGTTTGATTAGTGATACTTGTCATGTTATTACGCAATGATTTATTCTTCAGATATATCTAGGAATCTACTGTATGGGTATTTTTACTAGCTCAAACTGTTTACCCAGAGAAAGCTAAATCATTTTTTTTGTGTGTGTTTGCATGCTTGTGTTTTATTGTCCATTTCTGATGATTTTGTTCTAGATTGAACTTGCGGAAGACAATATTACTCACGCTGACTGGGTATGTTGTCATGGATACGGGGCTGCCTTAGCAACATATATACATTAACATCACATGCTTATCAACCCATTAACATTGTTTCATAATTCATCATCTGTCCAAGAAATCATTCAAATTTAAATTTAACTTGTTTTATTCATTGTTAAATGGCTTAGTTGAATCATATCTTCATTGTATTCACCTCATTGTCCACAAATATCATTAAACCATATGAAAAATTATTTTCAGTGATCATCATTTAGATATATATTAAGTCATCTTAATTACATTTTTTGGTGAAAAGGCTAGTTTTGTATACAGTAGTGATGGAGTGGTCAAATTTATTAAAATCATCAAGTTTGAGAGGGAAATGGAGTGAAAAATAAGATTTTTGCATTTAAATGTTTATAATGAATTAGAAATTGAAATAGATACTGTATTTAAAATTTGTGCATAAATTTATATTCAATTTGATTGAAACTATGCAAGTGTTCAAAGCACAGAATTGTATGAATTAAGTTTCGCTGTTTTTAATCATCTGTTTGATTTTCAACTTTAAAAGATAAAAAAATTGTATAATTGCATTATAATTGTGAATTAAATTTTGTTTTGTCTTATCACAATATTAACATCACAATATACCAATGTAAATTAATGAGGCACTCCTACAAATATTCCAACCTCTTTATATGCAATGCCAAAAATCATAATGTATAAAAATCCCATCACATTACATGTATTATGTCCACCCTTATCACAGTTTATTAAGTATATGACTGTATATATGGACACTTATTTATTGGAATTAAGCTTAAGAATGGAGCAAATGTTACTTTGAATAAAAATTCCAAGGAAAAAAAAACCCAGTATGTTAGTTATATCTTACTTATCGAAAATAACTTTTAGTGATCTTTCTTGAATTATTGTAGATTTACAGAAATTCATGTATATAATTGTATGGTAAACTTTTAAGGACATCTACTATTTCACTTTTCAGATCCTGGAAGGAGAAAATATAGACATTCCAAACACGTTTTATGTTAAAAGCAGACACAAAATTATCCAGTTCTTAGACGAGTAAGTATTTAAAAATCTATTTTAGAATTAAAAAGAAAAAAAAAACTGTCAGCTATCTAGTTAGCCCTTCTTTTTACAAAACTTTTTAGTTTATTAATTATCACCAGAAAATGACAAATTAATTAAAACCTTTTTTTTTTTACATGTTTGAGCAATGACATAAACAGTGTACATGTACTCCTTTTTCTGTACTGTGTAGGACAGGGGAGAAAGGGAAATAACTCTGACAAAAACATTTTCTGTAAGGTTCTTTTGTGGTGAATATATAAACCAATATGGAAAATATTTTTTTGTAAATATTTATAGACAGATTAGTCATTTCTTTAGAAGTAATAATTATTGGATCTATAAATATATAATCCTGATTTTGATATAATTAAATTATAAAAGATATAAATATTTCAGTAAGGTTTAAGAAAATTGAAATAAGGAAAACTAATGCATTTTCCATTCTTAATAGCCATGCCCATGTCACATGATTTTTGGCATTAAAATACATGTATGTTATCATTTTTAAAGAGTTCCTAAAGGGGAAAGAAGTCTGACCATTACACCTCTAATACCTTAAGTTTAATGAATGTCACTATCTCTCCTTTGCACCAGTGGCCTCCAGCTGTTAAAATATATATCTTTGTCTTTTTTTAGAAACCCTGGAGAGGAGAACAGTTGGTGTGAGGTCAGTTACCATGGAAACAAATAAAAAAAAATTAAGTTAATGAAATTGAATTTTCTTTTCTTGGCTGTTTTGTCTCCAAAATTATTAGTTTTAGATCAAGTTTTATCCTCCTCAAGGTTAACGAATACACATAACTAAAAACATGTATATAAACGATCTTTAAAAAAAAATTGACATTTTTTTCATGTAAATACATTTCACAGAGCATTAAGAATGTAATCAAGGAGTACCGGGTCAGGAAACCCTCTGTTCGAGTCACAGAGTTACCTCCATGTAATGGGGGAGAGGTAAGGGAAAATTTCTCTTTACAGATGTTATGCTTATTTTAAGCTTGTTTCTTGATCCCATGATTATGGCCATGATACTACTTTGTATTAATTGAAAATAAAGCAACCAAAACTTACATAAATGCTGACTACATCAGTAAGTGTGGTGTATTTTGTAGGTTACTGAAAGTGACCTTGGGAATGTGGCTCCTCATTGGATTAAGGACGATGAGGTGTCGATGTGTCAGCTGTGTAGTAAATCATTCACTGCACTGAAACGGCGACATCATTGTCGAGCTTGTGGCAGGGTGAGTGATCAGTAATGTTATTTAGCATATAGATAATTATAATTGTAAAACAACACCAGGTACATGTTGATGGATATATATTGCCCTTGTAGTATTAGGTTTTAAGTCTAGACATTCAAGCATTGCCTCTCTTGGTTTGACATACGAAAGGTGCTCTTAAAATTAGATGATGGACATTGTATCCTTACCTTGAAGGAAATTGAATTTTAAAGGCATTTAATGAAAAATATTCACTATCAGAGGGAAAAGGTGTTGTATCTCCTCTATATTCTCTCCATAAATCTAGAACAATTTTGTCTCTTCTTCAGTAGAAGATCCTAGAGTTATTCCTCTTTTTTATGCTACACAAATCTCAAAATTGTGAAGAAGAACAAAATATGAGGACTTGTGGAATATCATGCAGGTTGTGTGTGGAAAGTGCTCATCTAAGAAGAGTAACTTGGCCTATGACAACAACAAGCCAAACCGAGTCTGTGATAAATGTTTCCACATCCTGAAAAATGTAGATGGCAAGGATGTCAACATGAAAGCTCCTAAAGGAGTCAGGAAGGTGAGAGAGGATAGTACACCAATAGGTCACATTGTTTGTGAAGGGAGAAAAATGTAAAAATGTGTAGATTTAGAGTAATCATAGGGTAGAATATTTAAAGTACTATAAATTATGTTTTGAATATTGTATGTACCATAAATTATGTTTTGTATATTTATATTTTATGGTATTTTACTAATGTTTTAATTTCTAAATTTTCTAAATTTAGGATTTTATTTCTAGTTTATTTTTATTTTGAAGCTTTATTTGTATTTTTCCACACAGATGAATGCCAATGACCCCTCTATTTTGTCTGGGTACCTCAATAAAAGTATGGACCGAGGGAAGACTTGGACCAGGAGATGGTTTGTCGTCACCAAGGATTTTGCAATGTTTGAGTTCAAGGCACACCAGGTATGACCCTATTGGAGGGATAAAGCATGTCATGTACAGCTCAAATATTTCCTTGCTATCCAGGAAGTTACTCATTTGAATATCAAACTGTCTTGTATTTTTGCAAAAGCATAATATTATATCATTGAAACTATGAAATGACAATTTGTTAACAGCCACATTCTATAAATGTAGCAGTACATTGATTTGCTTGTTTAAATTCACAGGATATATATGCCATAGCAACCTTGCCTCTACCTGGTTACCAGGTGATATTTCCCTCCGAAAATATGGAGAATGTGTTCTGTCTGAATCACCCTCAAAAAATGCCACCCACCCACCTACAATCAGAGTGTGCTGCCAGTCGAGATAGGTACATACAACTCGCAATTCTGCAATTTCTAAGGGTTTTTTTCAACAAGTATAAGGGCAGACAACTTTTGAGAATTTTCTAAGCATAGAATTTTTAAGCTTATTGTTCTAATGTTCAAACCAAACAGATTTTTGTAATTATGCTTCTTTATAACTTTCTGACTTCTACGAAAATTCATTAAAATGTGAAAATCTGTGGTATTATAACATAGGAATATTGATGAATCTTACTGTCACAATTGTGTTACATGTATTGTTATATCAATATTGATCACAGATGTAACATGAAAGAGTAGTACGTGTATTTATTATATTTTAACGGTGAAATATCCCACATTTATTACATTTTCAACAGTGAAATACTGTGATTTATTTATTGAATAAAAGTGATATTCTCTCACAGTGTGAAAGGATACCAAAATGATATTCTCTCACAGTGTGAAAGGATATCAAAGTAAGTAAAAATAATTTCTGGCCTGTCATAAGATAGAGATAGTAACTAAACATCTTGTTAGAGCTAAAACTGCAAATTTCTTCCCAAATATGTTGCTAAAATCCATACTATGTAATGTTTTCATTCTCACAACTGCTAAGCTATGAGGTCTCAACCGCTCAACTATAACGTCAAACCTAGCTATGACAGTGTGTTAAGAAAAGACAGAAGCAAAGGGAAAATCAAAGAAAATGTAATAAACAGAAAATTCAATGTTTTGTAGATGAATATGGAATTTATTTCACAAGTGGGACAGGATTTTTTGATATTTTCACGAGTGTAATTTATATATAAAAAAAAGTGATATTTTCGCAATGAAAATATTTCAAGTGATATTTTCAGTTGTGAAAACATATAACAAAAATTGAGATTTCTCTTCCCTTCATGAAGAGTATGTGTTATAAAAAAATATTCCTTATAGATAGCCAGAGTAAATAAACCATCCTGACATGGACTTAAACTGCAGAAGTTTCTCCAAAATTTTGTTACAATTTATGTTTACACTTTTCAAACTCGCAACCTCATAGCTATGACATCTTGGAACTTCTTGGTTCTGATGTCACAGTCTACAACATTGAATTACAAAAGGATGGGCAAAAAGGAAATGAAGAAAATGTAATAAACAGAAGATTTTTGGTTCACACTCATGAAAATAAAATCCTAGCTGTCCCACTTATGAAATAATTTTCAACTACAAAATTGGATATTCTCTATACACAATATAAACAATTATACACTCAATAAGAATAAGGTATTATAATTCAAAAATTCAAATGTAAACTCAAGCTGGAACAATTTCTTGCCCTCAAATCATGATGAACTTTTCCTACAGTATAAGATTGCTCCATCATTAAAAGAGTGATGGTCATAAGCACTGCAACTTTGTAAATTTTATATTAACAAATGATTTGTTTACGATATACTCTATATTTGAACGAGTGTAGATTCCAACTCCATCACATCCTAAGTTATGCATAATAATATACATTTATTGCATGATCGTGAGGGAAATGTGAAGATTTATTCAGCCAAGAAAAATCATATTATGAGGGGAATATGATATTTCTTGGCTGAATAAATCTTCATGTTTCCCGAACATTCATGCAATGAATTGTTTATTATACCGAAACAAGCAAAAATTTTTAAATAAACATAAACTTTCAAATTTGGCACCGCTCTCAAATTCACGTTCATTTTTAACGTAAAGTTACTGAAACCCTTTGAAACATCACACTCTGATGAAACAATAAGCAATTTTTTGACGTAAACCAGGCTATTGTGACATCAACTACTCTCAGGACTTTTCGTTCAACGAACGATAACATTTGCAGGAAAATGCACTAGGTTTCGGAATAGGTGGAATAATGAAAAGCATGCCGATGACGGAAATATGAAGTTTTATGGCCCTGTCATGTGATAATTTAGAACCAATCAGATAATGCGTTGTGTAGAAAAATTATAATGAGGTATATTAATAGTGAATATCACATTTGAGCAATATGATATACTCTTGCATCAAAATCTCATTTAAGGAAGAGATTCTGCATTTACGTCAGTTTATGTAGATGTTAAAATATTTCGATTTGTGTTCCGTTTTATACACTATTTGGGTGACATACTTTGAAGATATTAGTACATGAACAGCCTATACAATGAAATCTGTACATGAACAGCTCTGTACAGTAGAATCTGTATTTGAACAGCTCTATATACATTGAAAACAGTACATGAGCAGCTCTATATACAATGAAATCTATATGTGAACAGCTGTATAAATACAATGAAATCTGTATATAAACAACTCTATCCAATAAAATCTATACATGGACAACTCTGTTCAATGAAATTTGTACATAAAGCTCCATACAATGAAATCTGTACAGGAACAACTCCATTCATTGAAATCTGTACATGAACAACTCTATTCAATGAATCTGAACAAGAGCAGCTCTATACTCTGAAAACTGTACAAAAACAGACCTATACAAATGAAATCCGTACAAGAACAGCTCTATGCAGTAAAATATTACATGAACAGCTAAAGTTATAGAATGAAATTTGTACAAGAACAGCTCTATACAATGAAATCTGTACAAAAACAGATTTATACAATCAAATCAATAAAATCTGTAGAAGAATAACTCTATTCAATAAAATCTACACATAAACAGCTCTATACCATGACATCTTTACATGAACAACTTTATACAAGGACATCTGTACATGAACAACTCTATACAAAGAAGTAATTAAATAATTCAGTAGAAGAAAATTTATGCATTGAAATCTATACAAAACAACTCTATATATGCAGTGAGATTAGTAAATGAGTAGCTCTGAGAAGTTATAAATGCATAAAATTTCTTGATGGAAGTTCCTGAAACAGTATATATGAATTCAAGATTTGTTACATGTCAAAAATTGTTGTTGAGGAAATTGAACAGGAATGTAATGCATTTCATACTTTTCTGTTGTATTTTGTATGTTGTTTGTAGATGGTTGGAGGTTCTGTTGTTTGTAGTTAGTTGGGGTTCTTGTTTGTTGTCTGTAGATGGGTGGAGATTTTGATTATTTTGTTTGTTGTCTGTAGATGGGTGGAGATTTTGATGAATTTGTTGTTTGTAAATGGGTTGAGGTTTTGATTATTTTGTTTGTTGTTAGTGAGATGGGTGGAAGTTTTCATTATTTTATTTGTCATTTGTAGATGGGTGGAGATATTGATAATTTTGTTTGTTGTTTGTGGATGGGTGGAGTTTTTGATTATTTTTTTTTTTGCTGTTTGTGGATTTTTTTTTTTGTAGATGGGTGGAGTTTTTGATTATTTTGTTTGTTGTTTGTAGATGGGTGGAGTTTTTGATTATTTTGTTTGTTGTTTGTAGATGGGTGGAGGTTCTGAAGAAGATGGTGAACCTAGAACTTCCAGATGATCCAAATCGAAACTCAACTCACTCCTCAGAAAGTTCTGGAAGTCAGACCGCAGACGACAAACATCAAGACACAGCAGATAAACAAGACATAGCAGATGACTGATAATTAATCCAAACATTGCCAAATCATGTCAGACTTTAATTTTATGAGAATTAGTGAATTGCCAAGATACAAAAAATATGCAAAGGTCACATGTTTGAATGATCTTGATTGATACTGGGTGTATATTTGAAAATGTTAAGTTTTCCAACATTGTTAATTTTTAACGACATTAAAAACATTCAGATCAAGAGCAGCAATGATTTTTTTCATTTATTTCATTAACACATGATAAATTAGTTGATAAGTTGTCATTAAGAATAAAAGAATTTGTATTTTGTGGTATTTGATATTTATTTGTGAATTATTGTTTGCTAAAGCTTTTTTGAGTATACAGTCAAACCTCATTATCTCGAACTCCAATGGACTTGGAAAAAAACTGTGAGATATTAGAGGGTTCGAGATATTGCCATTGAGGGTAAAATACATTAAGAAAAAGTGTTTTGGACTTCCAAATCACTTTGACATATCCATGGTATTTAAGATATCCGTGTTTGAGATATCAAAGTTCAGCGATATATTTTGGTTTGCTCATTGTATGAGCTTAAAACTTGACATCATTGAAAATCAAAATGATTTAAAATGACTGACATTGCAACAGTGAAATGGTATTTAAATTGTGTTTTACTTTTCATCAAAATCATTTAACATTCAAATGACATAGTCTGTTTGTACTGTTATAGGCTATATCAGTATGATACATGCAGCTTTAATTTTATGTAATGTGGGCTGTTTTTTGTGCAATGACTTTTTACTTTTAAGCCAGCTTTTTGATTACATGTGTTTCTTGTGTACATGTTTTAATTTGTTATGTGATAACAGCAATTCATATTTTTTTTAAATTTGCTTGAAATGAGTGTGTGTCAGATATCTGTACAGTTACAGAATTTCTTCATTTTTATACTGAATGGTCTAAATAATAAATGTTTTCATAATGATAATAAGAAACTGTAGTTCTCTGTTAATTATGTGAAATAGTAATGAATGGAATCCAAAATGTGTATTTGAAAATAAGAAAAAGAAAACAATTTTAATTTAAAAAAATCAATTTATAAAGTATTCAATCTTTCACATAATATAAAATATGTATTGGAAACTAAGAAAAAGAAAACAGTTTTCAATTTTTAAAAAAAGAAAAAATCAATTTATAAGGAATTTAATCTTTCACCTTTCACATTAGTATAAAATATGTATTGGAAACTAAGAAAAAGGAAACAGTTTTCAATTTTCAAAAAAAAAAAAAAAAAAAAAATCAACATGAAGAATTTAATCATAATTCACCTTTCACATTAATATTTTCTGCATTTCCTCCAGTTTCTTGGTTATTACAAAATACAGGTAAATATCAGTTTTGAATGTTTGTCCTTTTCATATTCCGTAACCTCTCTTCATTGAACAAGTGAATTTTAGCCAAAGTTCACAAAATCTATTTTTGTTTGCATTGTATCCATCCTTTATCAAGATACATGTACTAATAACTAGGAAATCGGAAGAAAAAAAAATTGAGTACATTTTTCTAAAATTGTTTAAATTCATCTTTTTAACTGACAGTTTTAACTGATTTTGAATGGAAAATTTCTACCACCCATGCTTATATTACCACAGACTAGAATAAAGCATCGGGGTAACCATGGTAACGGTCATCATGTGCCTGCCTTCAATAAGTATAATATCATACACAGATCATATAGCTGAATTGCCAGCAAAAGTACAAATTTGTAAAATGTTTAAAATCAAACCATCTTTAAAATAATGTTTGTTTGCCCTCACCCGACTCGGGATAAAAAAAAAAATTGGATAGGTAGGTAGGTGGTAACCCCACCCTCCCTCTCCGAAAATTTCAACATCAATGCTGAATTTTCAAAATAAAATAAAATACTTGTTGACGGGATGAAAAATTTCCGGAATGAAAAGAAAAAAAAAAGTTTAGAAAGTTTTAAGTCAGTCCATTTTTAGCCAGTCAGTAGGGAGAGGGCAACCAAACAATTTCTTCAAGATTGCCTCGAATTATTAATAATTTTAATGTTTTACTAACAGTTTATTGTTTCTATTGCCTCAAACTCGTAAACAGACGCAATTTCTCAAGAAAATTAGATAATCATCTTTGTCAGACCTTCCATCCAGAAAAAAAGCATTTCTCAGTTCATTGATTTACCTCACTAATTTATCTCATTGATATACCACGAGCTGGAATAAAATTAGGAAGCTTATGAATCTTGATAACGTCATGTTCATTCAAGGAAAACACTGTCACGTACACCAGGCTTCGACTTTTCCACTATTAATTCCTTTTGTAAAAGTAAGACTGAGGTCAAAAGTGAGCTCGTCTAAGCTTTATGGCCCCGGAGTCAGTTGCTGAAATCTCAGTGGTACCATACGGATCTTTTTTTCACTTGTCGACTCGATCCTTTACGATCGACTGGAAGGGAATATCGCAATAGATGATTGGTGTCACTTACCAAAAGCATACATTTCCTGGAATCGGAACTGCATGTATATGTTCCACTATATATAATTTCATAGTTATAGGCTGTGTGGGTGTCCGTAAATACGATATAAAACACAAGCTTATAATTACTTCCAAGGTGTTTCACGTCATTGTCAAAGTAAGCATGAAAAAGACATTAATGACAAACTAAAACTTTATGATAAATGTGATGACATCAACTTTTCTATCGTAAGCTTCCCTTATTTATGTAGCAATATGCCGTAGTCACCTGCATATGCATGGGGTTTATGTCTCTCAGTTGATTCGATAGGTAAGAGCATGTTCTATACATGTACGAACAAATTCTATAACGAGGCAAGCTATTGACAAATAGGATGATGATACAAGGATATCAACAGTCTCGATTAAAGAAAGAATTCGCAAATTCCATTATCTATACGGTGACCTTGTTAGCAAATACAATGAATCATTAAGTCGAATGTTGACTGACTTTTTCATACAAAGTTGGGCAATTATTTTCACACTGAATTGTCTACAGATTTTTCCGTTTACCCGATCATGGCAAGGAGCACACGGCAGGTGCGACCGGTTGACAGGGAATGCTTACTCCTCCATGGCACCTGATCCCACCTCTGATTTATTTTAGAGGTCTTTGTTTGCTCTGTTCCAAATCTGTATTATTCCAAAGGACTTTTGAGCTTGATTACTATTCGTTATCTTCCTCAGGCAAACAGTTTGTTTCTTTTCCCAGTTAATCAATGTATACTGTTAAGAAACAATGATTTTGTTTGTTTCTTAAAAACTCAGCATAGTTACTTTTAACTTTTTATTGTTTCTCATCTATTATGCTCAGGAACATAAACGCAATGAAAAGAATTTATCTTTGTTATACCTTCCAACCAGAAAAGCAGGCATTCATCCATAAATTGCTTTCTAGCATACCACGAGGTGTAAAATCAGGATGTGTACGAATCATGACAGCGTCGTGTTCATTCATGGAAAGCACTGCCACGCCAGTTGATGAGATGTAAGCGGTACCATATGGATCTGTTTTCCCCTTAACAGCTCCATTCACGATCAACTGGAAAGGAATATCACCATTGTAGATTGGTGTCACCCAACTAAGAACATGTATACACTCCTGGAATTGGAACTATATATGTGCCACTGTATTTTTCATAAGCAGAGTGAGTGTCTGTTAATACAGTGTTAAACGCAAGCTCGTGACTATTTCCAAGGTGTTCCACTTTATGGTCAAAGCAGGCATGAAAAGCAACTGTTTCTGAAGTGACTGAACGCTTTTCATTCGGTTGGACTGTAAAAAAAAGTATTCATTTTAAAATGAATGAAAACAAGCTGGAAAGCATGGAATTCAGACGTAGATTTACTACTTAACGTTTTCCTTAGATGAAGCACAATACCTTGCATGTACAAGTTCTTATAGAACTTTTTAAGATTCCAAATAAAAATTAAAGACTAAAAATTCTTGTGACCTTTGATAATTCAGGCAAAGTACGTGTAACCTGGCTGTGTATTTGCAGAATTAAAGGAACACCTCCCTTAAGTTATATAGTATTGATATATAAACTTGTATTTTATGTAAGGCAGACACACCCACACAATAAAAACAAAAGCATATAAAATGGAGTTTGCCAAGGAATTCATGGCAATTATAATCATACTAGTATTTCCCTTTGCAAAGCTATAACTTTTCTGATCTTTTTATGAAGATAAGTGTGATTTAACATTGGAATGATATTAAATGTTATAAGGAAAATCATCAGTAACCCTCTTTATAGCGACATAAATACCCACCGTGTGCCGTTTGCATTTGTAAAGTTTATGTATATATTCTTTTGCATGGTGATCTATCCACAAAATATATTGCCATAGTATAGTCCACTTTCCAACTTTTAAGGCTACTCTGTCCAACTAAGTAACTTCATGCCTTAATTGTAATTAATGATAAATATATTTAAAAACATTTTTTAGTTCGTCGACCATGTTATACAATGTATGATATAAACGGATTACAAAAACCAGCATTTCAAACAAAGTAGATCGGGGTAAAGACGAAAAATGACCTCCGTAGAATAATGACCGGAAGTCATTTTTCGACGTCGAAAAATGACGCACCTGTAGAGAAAGTGGCATCACCCTTAAAATCTGCATACGTGCCTTACGTGAAGAAAAATGACCTCCGTAGAATAATGACCTCTCGTATATTTTATAAGGAATTTAGTTTAAAGGATTAAGAATTATAAATTAAAACATAAGTGGGCGAAAATGCTCACCCGAGTTATACGTAAAATGATCTGCCTTTTATGATAAATTGACAACATTAATCGACTTCATTCTTCACTTTGTGCAAATGCATGTATTTTAAAGTCAATAATCTTAACTGTGTATACATAACTAGTACATTACATATAATTTTCAGACATATACATGTAGTAAAAGTGTCTTACAATTTGAGAAGGAGAATAAAGTGTGATGTTTTAGATGAATATTTGTACATTTTCAGTAAAACCGAAATAACAAGCCTTAATTAACTCTCCATTATACGTAGCAAACAAAAGTGGATATGCAATGAATTTTAACCTAAACTGCAAGCAAAACTTCTGAGAAATCCAAGAAACCGCAAAGGAATGGAGTCAATAAAAACGAGATCATGCAGATACCCATATCTCATTCCCGAAGTGCAATAAATCTTTATGCTGTATACACGTACCATCTTTGATTTTCTGGATGCTCCCCTTTATCAGAGTAATGATTGATTTTATGTTGTTTTACGCCCCATTCGAGAAATTTTCACTCATATAGAGACGTCACCATATACCGTTGAAGGGCTTCAAATTTTGACCTATACTCGACACTCAGGGTCATTGAGCAGTAAGAGATCTTTATCGTGCCAACGCCTGCCGTGACACGGGACCTTGGTTTTTAAAGTTTCATCCGAAGGACCAGCAACTTTAACTTCAAAGTGCCGAGCGCATGGCGAAGGGACAGTTGCTTCCTATTTTTTATCGACTTAGGTCATTGGCGGCCGAGATTCGAACTCACGACCTTCCGATCACGGAGCGAGCACTCTACCGACTGAGCTACCGTGACCGTGACGGTCAGAGTAATGATAAATCTTGTATAAGCAAGAAACGTCAAATCTGTTCGAATAAATATGCACATGTAATTAGCTAAGTTTCCAAGCATATGTTCAGTTCGTCCTAAGGATTCTGTTCAAAACAATTTATTCTTTCTTCTAAGTGTATTTAAGTTGCCCAAAGAAAGAACTAATTTGTCCTTACAAATATCTTGTTCGTCCGCACGAAAAACAAACTTTTCAGAACTTACAGTACCTTATTTTTTTCTGAGCATATAATTCGTCAGAACAATTACTAGTATATTATTCTTTCTGGGCTTCTATTGAAACATATTCTGC